CACGGATTCGAGAGCAGGAGTGAGGGGCTCATCGAGGGCAAGCGCGGGAAAACGTTCGAGAGCTGGAACAGAGGAGGCAGTGAGGATCGGCGCAGCAGGAATTGTCAAGTCGGTTATGTCAACTACGGGGGACGGTTCACGAGGGGAATGAGCGGTAGATTTGGGCAAGATGGTGGACAGAAGTGGTGGAAGAGGCACAACGGGGGGCGGGGTCAGTGGAGGCCGTCGTTTGCGCTGGACGACGTGGACCGGAGAAGATGCGGGAAGGACCAGGGTCGGCGGAGGAGTCAAGGGGCGCGGCAAAGTCGATGAAGAAGTGCGCAGAGGGGACGACGGCGAGATCACGTCGAGCGGGGGAAGGTCGGGTGGGAGTGTGGCCGAGGGGCTTCGCAGGAGGCTTGCAAAGTACTGGTCAGAGGATCGGCCCTTCTTGGTCGGCGCCCGGTGCTGCTGCTGCTTGGCTTTCTTTGACGCCTTTGGAACACCTGCTCTAGGCGTGTGGGACCTCGCCACTGCGGCCGTGTCTCTTTGGGGATGTATGTGGACGTAGTAAAGGCGTCCGGTGGCGACAGCGCCGCCGACGGCGACCATCCACGTGAGCCCCGCAATCGTGAGGCTCAGTGCGGACTGGTCCCATCCCCACAGCATCACCGTGAGTTGAAGCAGCTTGTGGGTGTGTCGCATAGCCCAGTAGAGGACGACCCATATCATGCCGTCTGGATGAAAGATGAAGCTCGTGAGCGAGAGCACCGTGAGCCACGCGAGGTAACGCGTTAGTTTGGACTTTTCCTGGCGCTGTTTGGTCGGGTAGTGGTCCGGCGCGGCGGCCGCGAGGCCGAGCGGCACCAGCAGCATCTGCAGGGGCACGACCATGATCGGTGGGGAATGCAAGATGAGGTCGAGGGCCCGTCCGTACGTTAGGAGTTTCGCCGTTTCGCAGGTCGGTTACACGGAAAAGACGCTGTTGTTGCGACCGTTACGAAACCACGACCGTCCGCGGTGTCGGCGGCGATGCAGCCATCGTTCCAGCGGCGCGAGTACGATGCGAATGCGAAGCAGTGGATGAAAGAGGTGACAGATTCACGCCCTCCTTTCGCACGTACGTGACCGAGTGGCGGGTAGGCACTCGTAAGCCGCCACGTGATCGACGAGCTCGAAGCCACGAACCGGAAGCTCCAGCACGAACTCGACCGCAAGGTACATCCGGCCACCGACCATGTCAAAGGCGACAGCCGTGCCCTCACTCTGTGGCGGTTGTGCATCCAGACCAACACGCTGAAGGCCATGGACGAGTGCGTGTCGTCTCTGGGCGCTTCTGCAAAGGTCAAGTTGGCTATGGAGGCGAAAATGGCGTCCGTGTCGACCTCGTCCAGCCCCGTCCCCGCGGATAAAACCAGCCCGAGGAGGTCGCCCCGAAAGCCACAAGACGCGTTGGTCCGGGGCGGGCCCGGTAACAAGTCAGGAGCACTTCATCACGAGTGACCAGCTCAACCATCCCTGTAGGTTCACGTACGGCAGCGAAGACTACTCGAACTACGTCAGCCAGTACAGCCCTACCAAGTACGTCACGTGGATGCATGCAACTCTTTCGCTCGGCTAACTCGATGGCAGGGACCGGGAGATTTCAAATCCCAAGTACACGCCGGCATCCGACGCCGATTCGAAGCCATCCCCACGGCGCCTTCGACATGACGCCCAAGTGTTTGGCAGCGGCACCGACGCCAACAAGTAAGCTCGGCAAGCGCTCCAACTTAACCGTGACCGCACCTGTGACGGCATGCAGATTCCACCATGGAAGCACCGAACATCTCGCGATCGTTGAACAGCACAGCCCAAAGAGGTTGGCGACACCCTCTCGTCGGACTGTGTCGAATCCATCCATGGCTGCAGGACTCGAGAAGTGACCGAGTGTCCCAAGAAGGAGCACGTGTTCATCTCTGGGTCACCTACGTTTCATCAGACGGCGGGCTATGCGAGCAGCTACCCAGGACAGGTTGCATCCGAGCCGTCGTCGCAGATCGTCACGACGGACTCACGTGTGCATGCTGCAGATAGACAGACAAGAGTTTGGGCGGAGTTGGCCCTTTCAATGGGAAGAGAAAGTGCTGCGGGAGACCAAGGACTTGTTTGGGAACGACAGGAAGCCGCCGCTGGCACACGTCCCGCTCTCCAAGTATACGACCCCTCGACCATCTCGCCACAACCCCACTGACGTGGCATGCAGGGCCGAGACCGACGCAATCGACAAGCTCATGCGCGAGAGCCCTAGGATTGTCGGCAACAACCACCACTTCGTCGACTTCAAGGGCTAGTCGGCGGCGTGGCGCGGCACGGCCATCGTGTAGGAAATAGAACGTCAGCAACAGGTAGCACTTAGTGAAAACGCATTTAAACGGGTGTTCTCATGTGGTTGGTGGATGGAAAATAATTCAAAGTTGACCTGGAACGATCCATCGCGATGGCGCTGCCGCCGGACTACGTCGACGGGCTGTACCGCAAGGTCCTGATGTCCGTGAAGGCATCGAATGCGATTCCGACGGACGACGAGGACTACCACTTCCAACACAAGTTTAACCAGGACTTCCGCGACGGTGTCGAGACGTTGGGAGTCCGCGTCACGGCGCTTCTCCATCGCCTCCGCAGTGCCAATTTCCCGCGCAACGACGACGTTGCCGACGACGACCTTGCCGACTTTGATCCGCTGGAAGAGAATGGGGCTCTCACGGATCTTGTGGACGGACTCCTGGAAAAAGCGTCCCAGCAAATCATTCGATTCCAAAAAGGCGAAGTCGACCCGTCGCCATCGACCGCCGCGGCGCCACCGGTCGTGCTTCCAACTCCCAGTAGCTCCAAGGTGTCGTCTAGACCACAGGACTCGTTCGAAGACAAGATTGACAACTCGGACGCGCCGTTTGTGTCCAAGTTGCGCGCCAAGTTGCACGCCGCCTCGACACCAGACGGCGGAAATCCCGTTGACGACGAAGACGAGATGTACCACCCCTACCGCAGCGAGATCACGAACCTTGCGTACCAGCCTTGGCAAGTTGAACCGACTGCGTCGCACCCAGGCATGATTTCCCTCGACGACGCCACCTACACGTACGTCGACACGGTGGACGGGCTGGCGTCGATGCTGGAGGCGCTCCAGGCCGTCCCGATGTTCGCCGTCGATCTGGAAAACCACAGCTTTCATTCGTTTCAGGGTTTTCTGTGCCTCATGCAGATCTCGACGTGGGATTGCGACTGGCTCGTCGACACGCTGGCCCTGCGGTCGCACCTCCACACGTTGAACGCGGTGTTCTGCGACCCGACCAAGCTCAAGGTCCTCCACGGCGCCGACTCGGACATCGTGTGGCTCCAGCGCGACCTTGGCATCTACATCGTCAATATGTTTGACACGGGCCAGGCGGCGCGCGCGCTGCAGTACCCTCGCTTCTCTCTGGCGTACCTGCTCCAGACGCACTGCGGCGTCACGGCCGACAAGCAGTACCAATTGGCGGACTGGCGCGTGCGACCGCTGGACGAGCACATGGTCAAGTACGCCAGAGAAGACACTCGATATTTGCTGTTCATCTACGAAGTCCTGAAGAAGGAGCTGCTCGCAGCGCCCACCAACTTGCTGTACCCGACGCTCAGCCGCAGCCAGACGCTGTGCTTGAGTGTGTACGAGAAGCCGCGCGTGCCGACTGCAGACGATGTTAGCCACCTGTGCTTTAAGCTCAAAACGACCGTCGGGCTCCAAGTCATCACAGACGCCCAAGTCGCGATCATGACGCAGCTCGTGTTGTGGCGGGATCGCCTCGCGCGGACCACGGACGAGTCCCCTGGCTACGTGTGCCCAAATGCGGTGCTCATGAAGATCACCAAGGGCCTGCCGGCGACGCCCGCCGCGCTCTTCCGGCTGTGCAATCCCATTCCGCCGCTCGTTCGAAAACACGCGTACGACATCACTGTACTGCTCAAGCAAACACTGGCTGGCGTCCACGAACAAGGCAAGGCGTCCGTCGCGGCGCAGCACACCGTCAAACCCATCGAGACAACGGTCGTGGGAAGTGTCGAGGTAACGGGGATCAGCACCCAGCTGGACGACTTCAAGGGCTGGACCAACGTCGTGGCGCGCAAGGCCAAGGCGTGTGCATCGTCAAGTCTCATCTCGCCGAAGAAACCCAAAGCTGCCAGAAAGACCCCCAGCGACGACGCCAAGGCGAGGCCACGTCTGTTTGCCCCAAGTGAAGGCGAGTTGGAAGGTCGTGCCGTCGATGTGTTGGAGAAAGTGCGGCAGGCGTTTGCTAGCAAGGAGTTTGTGATCGTGGATGTGTCGGGTGTCGCGGCCAGCGCGCCCACGGCACAACCCCCACTGACGCCGGTTCCACCAGCTATCAAGGAGGACGTGGCTGTGCCGCTGTCTCTCACGGAAAAGTACCCCAAGCTAAAGAAGCGGAAAGCAGCCGAGGCGCCAGCCACCGTCGACACAGATCACAAAAACGAGGAAGAAGACAAGGTGTCGTCGTTCCAGCCGTTCGACTACGCCAGCCAGACGCTGGCCAACTCGACGATGGACCTCGACATCAAGCCTGAGGTCCGATCCAAGCGAAAGAAGGGCGGCGGGTACAACCCGTTCGTGCAAGCGACGGACGACAGCGGCATGACAGCGATCAACCAGAAGAAGGGATACAACGCCCCGCGTAGTTCGACCTCTCGGTAGAAATGGATCTCTGGTCGTCACGTCCGCTCTTGTACATGCACAAAGGAAACGACGCGGAGGATCAACTCCGCACTAGGTAGGTAGGACCGACCGAATCATCGTTACGGCTGTTGGATTGAGGTCGCTGCATCCGGCGGCGTTGTACGCGACGCCGCGGACTCCGTCGCAGCCGCGCGCTCTTTCTTCGAGAAGATCGATTTGGATGGTCAAAAGTCACGCATATTGGCCAATCAGATGAGAGTTTTGAGATCTTTCGGGGAATTTCGAGCGCCGCCAGCTCACGAGATGGACGCGATGCGGTCGCTTCAGTGGATCGCGCTGCTCGAAAAGATCGACCGACGACACCTCGAAGCAACGTGGGTATATCCAAGTGTCCCCAAGGACCACCTGCAAGTGCTGCTCCATCGCATTAACATGGATGCGCCGCGACCCGACAAGTTCTTTGTAAAGTTCCAAGACGCATGGGTATACGCGAGTCACCCGTTGGTCGCGACCGAGGCCGTGGTAGTCGTTGCGAGCAAGGTATAGCGATCCCTGTGGTTGTCTTTCTCGAGCTGACTTTGTCAACGTGTTAGTGCTTTGACCCGGAGAAGTATGCCGCGTTGCTGGACGTATTGGTCGGCGAGTTCGAAGCCGCGTCGTCGTCCCCTCTGGCGCTGCTTCGCGTCTATCTTGAGCTCCTCACAGCGGGGCAGTACACCAACCCGTCGACCAACGTCTCGTTTGTGTGGAATAAGAATCAAGCGATCGCGCCGTACGTCCCTACCGCGTACACTCTACAGGTGGTGTGCGTCGGCCCGTCGTCGTTCGTCCTATCTCAGAGCAGCCCCCTTCCTCCTCCAGACATTTATGCACATGTTTCAAGACGACAGCGCGATCGTGTGGCTCGCGATCTTGGCCAAGAAGAGGTGCGCGGCGGCATGCACTTGTCGCGACTGCTCACACGCGGTAGAGTCGTCGTGGTGAGTGACACGGTCGACGAGCTGCTCGAGACAACGCGGTGTCTGCCGCAATTTGCATGGCATCGTCAAGTGCGTTGTGCCGCCCCCTCCACGGCGATGTTCCATAGGATGCGCTAGGACTGGAACATCCTGCGCCCGTTCACGAGACTGACCCGCGCGGAACTGCATGACCTTGACGCGATCGGAGTGTACATCGCTGGCGTGCTCGTTGCGGACCTTGTGCAAGCTTCCGCGCCGCCGCCATACGACGTTCTCGTCGATGGTGCGTGACCTTGTTGCCCATGCATTGCACCGCCATGACGGGTCTCTGTCGTAGTGTCCAAGCGCAGCGTGGTTGTGGCGGAAGGAGCAGCTGGCCTCCTCTTTGCAGGGATGGCCTGGCACAACGAATGCACAGAATTCGTGGCTCGGCTCCGCCGCCACCACCAACACGACGCGAACCACGTCTTGGACGACGTTGCGAACAAGACGTTGGGACTCATCGACTCGCTCAGGACGAACGCACTCACCACTGTCGATGGCATCGAGGTACACCGTTCCTTGGCGATCTCTACCCTACAACACTAAACTCGCAGGAACCGTTGATGTGGGCCGTCGCCGTGGCCGAAGAGCTCGTATAGGTGGACCCCCCCCACCGGTTAAACAATTCAACTGCGTGGTTGAGCTGCAATATGTCTAGCGCGCGTCACCGCGAACGATGGTGGCGATGTGGGGACGCACTTCGTTTCTGCCGCCGCGTGTCCGGGCTCGGGTGATCCCGCCTTCGCCTGTCGTTGTCGCGGCTGTCGGTACGCCGCCGCTTCCGCCCCCAGTCCCGCACATGCAACGGATTCCTCAGCGCCATGATGGATTCGCGCCTGACGTACACTCGTCAACACGCACGTCTTGGACAGAATTCGTCACCTTTGCATCGCGTCGCGATCTGTGTTTCCTTGATTGCGCTTGCTGTCGACGTCGTTAGTGAGTGCCTTTGGCACGGTCCATCCGTGAAACTGCGCCAGTTCGTCCATGCGGTTCGCGATCACTTGTCTCAGCGCCTGCGTGCATTCAAGTCAGGTTATTCCCCACGCGTCAAGGATGACACTACCTGCGTCGGAGTGGCGCGACTGGACGCTGACTTGCGCGGCAAGTCGTTGCGCTTCCGCTTCTTGTCTGCAGGGTCGTCGGCGTGTCGCGCACTCGATGGCGGCAACGGAGGCGCCGTGGGTTTCGCAGAGGTTGAGTCGAGTGGACGCCGATCCGTCAAGATGCTCTCAAGAAACCCATCGTAGTCTGACAGAGTCTACGAACAATGCAATGAGCCATGAGGTTGGCGGCGACGAACCTGAAAGCAGCCTTGTTGGACCGCCAACGCCACCACGAGCACTTTCCACAGCTCGACGACGAATTCATTCGTGCGACTCGACAGGAATTCGCTAAGTTCTTTCGCCATGATGTCGGGGTGACTGGTCTCGGGGTGCGCCACGAGGCGAAGGATAAAGTCGACGAGTGCCACGTCTGCCGACGCACTTGAGCTATCCACCTCCCTACACCCGCGTCATTCAAAGCACGCAGCGAGGGTTGACGCACCGTTGACACCACGATGAAACCCATCCACGCACATGGGGCGACGAAGCCAAGGCCGAGACGTCCAACCGCGCGAAGTCGGCGGGAATCGAAGTCCATGACATGCAGTGAACATGGAAGTTACGGGCGTCCGTCGTAATAGATAACACAGCACACTCGAGTGGGACATCGTCGCTCTTCGAAGGTTCAACGAGCGATGGAGCATGGTCCGCTTCCAAAGTCGACACATCAGTCGCACCCGCATCTTCGTCGTCGGTGAACGTGTGAACCGTTGCAACATCGAGGAAGTTCCGGGTGGGGTCTGCATCAGGATTGAATGCGATCACTTCGGGAAGCCTGTGTCGGTGGTATTGGGCCATGTGAGCGCGCTTGGTTTTTTGTTGGTAGAAGAACTACCATGGAATCCGTCACTTCAACACGGCTGGTCGACATAGTACCTGCGAGGATGGGGGCGAGCTGTCTCGACGAGAAATGCCATGGCAACGCTCCTACGGAAGTATGTAGTGAGCAGCTTGCATGCCGACAGAGACGGCGCAACCAAATGTCGTGGAAGAGCGGCTGGAGGGACAAAGTGCTCGGGGACGCATTTGCATGTGACGTTCTCGACGCCGGGGTAGAGTGCAATCTCAGTTTCTCTGAGAAACTCAAGAATGCGAGCTTCCATCGCTTCCAACTCTGTCTGCATGCGATGGTTTGCCGCCAATCGCGCATCGAGAGCACAGTCGATGTCTTCCAGCATCGTCGTCATGTTTTCTGGATGACAAACACCATGTCAAGTTATTTTAATTCCATATTCGTGTCGTGTATTTAATTGTTTCAGAGCGAAAAATTGAATGTTGCGGGGTGCACCCGCCAAATTTGAATTTGGCGCAACTGGAATGACAACGCGCGCACCGGAGCGGACAACAACCTCATGATGGCATCGCAAAAGGGGCGAGCACGGCAAACATCTCGACGAAGTACGAGCAGTGTCAATCGGTCAGTGCAAGATTCACGAGATATTGATACATTGGGAGAATCGACAGCGGCGGTGTCGCCGACGCGCGGTCGCCGTGCAACGTACGTTGATCTCACGATGGGGTGGACGATGTTGCGGATACGACACCCCCACGTGGACTCAGACATCTATCGCATCAGCCCAGTGTTTGCATATACGCAGCAAAGTGTAGCGACGCGTCTTGAAAGCTGGGATTGTTGACGCACGGATCCCGTCCCAGCGTGCACCCAGTCCACGCCACGTCAAACGCATCCTGGGACTCTAGGCGTCGCTTGCATGCTCTACACTTGCACCGCGTAGTGGTGTGAACTCGATTCGACCAAGTCCTGTGGCCCCATCCGTGCACATCGCAGAGGCGTCGTTCCCCACGGATATCCTTGTGTTGTGGTTTTGCATCCGTTTGCGCATAGAACCACCCATCCGTGGATTTCGATTGGTCGCTCCAACTGTGACACGGCGGCTTGATGCGCATATTCTTTGCGCCGCTCGATACACGGAAACCGTGGGCGATACCGTCCTCCGTGTCGATCCGCGCCGCGACCTCGCGCAGGTCCTTCCCCATCACCGTCGACATGCCGCGTCGCGTGCAGTCATCTCCCTTTTCACGATGTTTTCGCCAATCAAAGCGCATGGATTTCTTTGGAAGCATTGGATTGGTTGGATTTGAAAAGTTTCACCTACCCCTTTTCAATAGTTAAACCAAGTGACACAGTGATGCACCTCTGTCGCCGCAGGTTCGCCTGCACTCATTTTCACTTTTCCTCGGTCGGTGCAACATGGGAATCCTCGACATTGTGAAGCCTGGTGTCCTCACCGGCGACGAAGTGACTGCCGTGTACCAATACGCCAAGGATCATGGTTTTGCCATCCCTGCCGTCAACTGCACGAGCTCCAGCACTGTCAACGCCGTGCTCCAAGCGGCGCGCGACATCAAGTCTCCTGTGATCATTCAATTTTCGAACGGTGGGGCTGCTTTCTATGCTGGCAAGGGCATCTCGAACAAGGGTGAATTTGCCTCGATTGCTGGTGCTGTTGCTGGTGCCCACCACGTCCGTTTGATGGCGAAGCACTACGGTGTCCCGGTCATCCTTCACTCGGACCATTGTGCCAAGAAGCTCCTCCCTTGGTTTGATGGAATGCTCGCGGCCGACGAAGAATACTTCGCCGTCCACGGCGTGCCCCTGTTTTCGTCGCATATGTTGGACTTGTCTGAGGAATCCTTGGAAGAAAACGTCCACATCAGCAAGGAATACTTCAAGCGCATGGCCAAGATCAACTTGACCTTGGAAATTGAATTGGGTATTACCGGCGGTGAAGAAGACGGTGTTGACAACAGCGGCGTCGACAACTCGTCGTTGTACTCGCAACCCTCGGACATTTTGTACGCTTACGAACAATTGTCGGAAGTGTCGCACCGCTTCACCATTGCCGCTGCTTTCGGTAACGTGCACGGTGTGTACAAGCCTGGCAACGTGAAGCTGCACCCCGAGTTGTTGGAAGGCTTCCAAGCCCATGTTGCGGCCAAGCTGAACAACGGCATCACCAAGCCCGTGTTCTTTGTGTTCCACGGCGGCTCTGGCTCGACCGAATTGGAAATCCAAACTGCTGTCAAGGCCGGTGTCGTCAAGATGAACATCGACACGGACACGCAATGGGCGTACTGGAACGGTCTCCGCACGTTCTACAAGGAAAAGGAAGGGTACCTCCAAGGCCAAATCGGCAACCCCGAAGGTGCCGACAAGCCCAACAAGAAGTACTACGACCCCCGCGTGTGGGTGCGCAAGGCCGAAGAAGCCATGATCACGCGCGTGCATGAAGCTTTCCGCAACCTCAACAGCGCCAATGTGTTGTAACTATTCTACTAACTACTCTTGTCTCAACTCGCATCGTTCTGAATGTCCCCTCGCTTGATTTGCGTCCACGAGGACGCGAGTTTCTCCGACAGGAAGCCGGTCGGTGATCTTCCACGTGATGAAAACGTCGTTGAGGCGCCAACTCGTCGTCAACGATGATGTGAACGTGATACAGTCGGTTGGAAAGATGGACATGGGTTGCCTCGTACGTTCTGAGAGCAGCCAGAAGAGTGAGCGGCGCTTAGATCGATGCACCTGAAGCTGTTCGCTCGATGGGCCTCTGCGGTCGGCTTCCAGCGCTGCTCCCATCGCAAGGCGGCGACCCTTGCGTGGTTTCGTGACGCTGCCAGCGTGGTTTGACGCAGAACTTATGAAACTCGATATATTCGTTTTCAGAGGTCGATCAACCTTCGACAAATTCGAAAGGACGCGCGAGGTCACTCGAAGAGTTGCGACGGACGTGAAGATGGAGATGAACAAGGCGACGCTGCGGAAGATCTGCAAGGACCTGGACCTGTACAGCACGCCCAGCATCAACGATCGGTTGTATTTGCATTACAAGGTGCGACGACACTCGATGAGCACCATGACAACGTGTCGTAGGGCTTTCGTCGCATCGAAAACTTGGAGGAGTACACAAACGTCAAGGTCATCTGGCTCGAAGGCAACGGATTCAACAAGATTGAAGGGCTCACCGCATTGCGGGAGCTCCGGTCGCTGTTTCTCCATGAGAACCTCCTGGAAACGATCGAAGGGCTCGAGTCCCAGATTCATCTGGACACGTTGAACTTGACGCAAAACCACATCGCCAAGATCGAGAACCTCAGTCACATGACGGCGCTCACCGTGCGTCCATGCCGTCATCCAACTTCTCCCCCTTCACTCGTTGAATCGTCTAGAATTTATCCTTGAAGGGCAACTACCTCCGCACCGCACAAGACATTGAACACGTGCTGCAGATCCCGAGCCTGTCCGTCTTGGACATCCAAAGCAACCGCATTGCCGACCCCGCTGTGCTCGATATTTTGGCTCAAATGCCAAACCTCCGCGTGCTCTACTTGCAGGTACATGCAGCAATTCATAAGTGCGCGCAGGATTCATCTTGCGTTCAGGGCAACGATGTGGTCAAGCACATCAAGCAGTACCGAAAGACCGTCGTGGCGCGGTGCAAGAACTTGCGGTACTTGGATGACCGCCCCGTCTTTGACGACGAGCGGCGCCGGGTTAACGTACGCAGGAGTGTTGAAGTGCTCGCAAATGACCATGGAAGTTGCCGTAGGCATGGTACAAGGCGCTCGAGGAGACCAACGGCGACATGGAAGCGGCGCTCCAGGCCGAGCGCGACGAGTTGGCGGTGATCCGCCAGGAGAAGAAGGACAAGGACGAGGCCAACTTTCGATACTTTGAAGAAATCATGCGCCAAGGCAAGGCTGAGCGCGACCGCCGCGAGAAGGAACAAAACAATCAGCTGGACGAGGTAGTGCCGTCCCCTATGTGCTGTGTCGCGCAGGGCTGATCCGAGCTACAGCGGTCCCCATACAGCGGCGAGAAGATCCTTCCGGCCGAGGACTGCAAGCTCGTGCGGGAAGCTCGGGAGCGACGATGGGCGGACGTCGTAAACGACACCGTGCCGGTCCCACATGAACTAGCCATGCCTCCACCACCGCCGTCCAAGTTGGAGCCGGTCGAAGTTGACGCGGAGCGGCTCAAGTTGCTCCACAACTGTGCCGTCGTTGGCACGGGCGCGACGGCTGCGATGGATGCGTTCGTGAGTGAAAACTTTACCCTGGCAAAGGAGAAGGCGTCCACGAAGATCGAAGAGTTCAAAAACATGGACGGACCGCGTGGAGGATTCGCGGCAAGGCTTGCGGCCGCGCAGGACGACGTCGCCACGACGACGAAAGCTGTTGTAGCTCACACCAACATGACCGAGCTCGACTAGATTTACCACGTTATGAAGAGACTGGTATTGCAATGACCCAGTGGACGCGGTTGATACATGGCTCGCTGGACGCTGCCGCAAACTACTCGGAGTTGCACGAGCGGGACAGCAGATGTGGCGCATACCCCGCTCATGTATCTGGATCGATGGAGTCGCTTAGGACGATGGAGGAAGCGTCGCTCTCGCTGGCCACGCGCCGCACGTTTTGCAAAAGTACTGATCTAAACGGTCGAGCTGGAAGCCGCACTGAAGGCACGGGTCCGAGTCGTGTCGACGGACGCGGCACGTCCACTCAGTTCCGTCCTCCGGCGGCCCAAAGATTGATCGAAATACTGCGTAGTAGTGCATGTGCTCTGCGTTGCGGAGCGTGATGCCGTCTTGGTCGAGCACGCGCTGGCGATCTTGGTCAAAGGTCGGCGGCTCCTTGAAGAGCTTGCCGAGCGGCGTCGTGCCCGCTCCTGAATCATGCCACATTAGCCAAACGCGCGATTTTTGGGATTGAGTACCTGTCTCTAGCGGAACTTTGTCGCGCCATCTCGAAAACGCTTCGGGAAAGGCAGCACGAAGGACAAATTTGCCGTGGACTGCGCCTCCGTGAGTCGCGACTAGATCATCTTTCGTGCAAGATAGCGCAAACGCCACGACGTCGGGCTGGATGAAGGGCTGGTAGACAGAGATACCGAGCGCTTGGCCGAGCTTCGTGGCGCAGAATTGCATATGGTTGGCAGCACGATTCCTCCACGCCTGGAGTTTCTCTTCGCTCAAGTTCGTCACGAAGGAATACCCGGCAAACATTTCGTCAGCGCCATCACCAGTAACGATGGAAGTGATGCCAAGGGATTTGGCATGCAGGAGTGCACGCGCGATGGCGACACCGCCGCGGAGTTCCATGGGGTCGAACGTCTCCAATGTCTTGACTGCGAGGTGCAACGCTCCTGAAGGAGAAGGATCCATAATAGACAGAGTATCAGCTATGGACACCACGTGGTGCGCCATCTTGGCGCGGTGGGCTATCTCCTGCGCATAGGTCAAGTCATGCTTGGGGTTCGTGATGTCTCGTCCACAAGACACAGTGATGGCATCAACGAACTTCCGCCCACCAATGGCTTCCGCAATGATAGATGTGTCTAGACCTCCCGAGAGGAGGATACAAGTCGCATCGTGCGGCGCCGATGCGATCGCATGAAGAACAACTCGTCGCGCTTCGATCGCCTTCGCATGTTTCTCGAACACTTCATCGTTTTCCATGGAAGTCCGACCAAGCCCGTGTGGCATGTCCGTATCCGGAATATCCTTTGCGAATCGCACGGTGACAAGACATATTAAAATTCGTAGAGTCAAACCCGACACACGATCTCGTATTGGTTGAAATTGAAGGAGATAACCACTCCTCCAACGAATTTTACTTCAAAATTGTCCAAAATTATGTTGAATTCGACGAAAGGATCAATTGTTGGATGAATCACCGAAATCATCGTATTTGATTTGTTGAAATTCTTTGGCAATCGTTTGTATCGACTGTCACCCCCCGAGCGGATGGCATAAAACTGGATGCTTCTGCCGTCGTTCGCGATTTCCTCATTTTCTCTCTCGAAGCGCCGACGACGACGATGGGCATCAACTCCCCTTACCACTCCTCCATGGAGAAGGAGATTGCAAAGGCATGCAAGATCCTGGATGCGTTCTTCAACCCCAAGCTGGATGCAGACAAGGCCGTGCCGTTCGAGCTTCTTCAAAACGCGGCAGGAATTGCATTCTTGACGGTGATCAAAGCAGGGATGATCTGGACCGGTAAAGTCGGCACAGGAATCGTCTTGTCCCGTCTGGAAGACGGCAGCTGGAGCCCGCCTTCGGGAATTGGTACTGCTGGTGTTGGCTTTGGAGCTGAAATTGGCGGGGAAATCATCGACTTTATGATTATTTTGGGGTCTCCCAGCGCCGTGCAAACGTTCAAGCGAGGCACACAGGTACATCTAGCACTCTCTTCATCATGAGAGCCACTCCTAACGTTCGAACCTTGAAGCTATCGGTGGGTGCTGGACTGGAATTGGCGGTCGGTCCCGTCGGTCGTGCAGGTGGTGCAAACGTCAATGCTGGCGGCAGCGGCCTGAGCAGCAACTACACATACAGTCACGCAAAGGGTCTCTTCGCCGGCGTCGGCCTGCATGGTTCGACGATCATGGTTCGTGGCGAACTCAACACAGCGTTTTACGGCCGAGAGGTGTCGCCCATGCAAATCCTTAGTGGCGCCGTCGCCCCGCCTCCGGGGTCGTGCGACCGCCTATTCGAAACTCTCCAACGCGCATGTATTGGCGATAGCTCGGGCGGTCGCTCCAGCGAGGTATGAAGACATCTCCGGTGCTGCCGCGACATTTTGACATGGATGTGTAGGCGTTCAACGCCGGCGACTACGGCGCACACCCTCTCACGGGCTACGGCGACTCGCATCGAACGAGACGATCATTCTCTGGGCAGCGCGACTCGACTTCGGCCTCCGGAGGGTTTGGTCACTCGGCGGCGCCTGCACGCCAGAGCTCCTTCAGTGGTACCACAGCGTCGGCGTCGTCGTCGGCAGCCTCCAACGGCCCGGACCCACGCCTTCGTCGATTTACTGGATACAAAACGGAGCAGGAAATTTATGCGCAGTACGCGAAGCCAGCCCAGGTGCCCGTTGCGGCCCCCACGACGACCACTTCGGCGCCGACTTCGAGCAACACTGCCCCGACGTCCACTTACGCCGGCATGGCCAGCACCGCCAGTTCAGCACCAACGTACCAACGCACGACGAGCCAGGTCCGAAGCGCTCCGGCGATCCCACCGCCGGCAGAAGGCTCCGAGACGAAGCAAGTGTTCACGGATGTGATCAACTTTATGACAACCCGCGTGCCGTATGCCGATATCCAGACGTTCAAGGAGAACTGCCGCCGATTCGGCCAGGACCAGATGTCTCTCGACGCGTACTTTTTCTATCTCAACTCGGTGTGTACGACGAGTCTTCTGCGCGAGCTCATCCCGAAGCTCGTGCGCCTCTTGCCGACCCACGAAAAGCGCACCGGGATGTGGGTAAGTCGATGGACACGTGAATGACGATGGATTTGCTCATGGCGACGGCGGCGTAGGACCTGTACGTGAAGCAAGTGTATTAAAGGGTGCTTACCAAACGAGATGACGAGAGGCTGTGGGATGTTGTGCTCGGGATGGAACCGTAATTGCATTCGTCGGAAAAGATGACGGATGTAGCATCGAGACGCTTGGAAACAACAAAGGGGGTGTTGGTGGTGGACAGGCGGTCTCGACTACGTTGATACTAGAGTGATGCGACGAGGACTCGATAGGTTGGACCATGCATAAGCTGTGGCGAGGGATGTGAATTCGTTGCAAGACGTGGATGAAGGCCCCATGTTGTCCATCCGCCGTCCGTCGGCGGCGCTGCTCTGGCGCTCGAACCGTTTCGATTCCGATTTTGTGTAACTGCAAACCGTTTCACGTGAGGAACAATAGGTCGGCGGCCATCGGACGGACGGGATGCTCCTGACGCAGGAAGAAATCGACTCGTGCCGGGAGTCGTTTGTCCACTTCGATAAGGATGGGTCGGGCACGATCGACAAGTACGAGCGGCAGTGCTGTCGACGTTGACATGGTCGTTGGCGTAGATACGAACTGGCCAAGGTGTTGGAAGCGATGGGGCAAAAGCCGAGCGAAGAAGAGTTGTTCCAGATGATCTCGGAAGTCGACGACGACCACAGCGGCGAGATCGAGTTCCCCGAGTTCCTTCGCGTCATCGAGACGCAGAAGCGGCGTGCAATGGAGTACGACGACGAGTCCGACTTTATCGACGCGTACGTGGCGTGCGGTGGCGGCCCCGGGAAAAGTGGCCACGTCGAACGGCGCGTCCTTGTCCACCTCATCAAGAAGGACTTTGGGCTCCCCATCGACATCGACAAGATGCTGGATGAGCTCGACACGGACGGCAGCGGCGAGATCGAGTACGATGAGTTCAAAGCGCTGCTGTCGCAGTAAGAAAGACATGTAGCATACAACTCGATTATTTTCGAATGTCCTGGGGAAGTGCCTTGCCGTACCCCGACCGGAACGTGGTCCCGACCGACCCTTCGTCGACCGCCGTCTTGGTCGATGGCTTCGCCCATTCGAGTTTGAGAATCAAATGATCGTATCCGTATCCTTGGAGCTTGTTCAGGGCCTTCTCGGCATCGCTTCGGTAGGCAAAGCTGACGAAGGCAAACCCGCGCGACTGGAACGTCTCGCGGTCCTTGGCCAGGTACACCCGCTCGAGCGGCCCGAACGCACGGAAGAGATCCTTCAAGTCGTCTTCGCGGGTTTCGGGGGAAATGTTTGTCACTCGGAGCGTCGCGCTGTCGTCGTCGCGAGAGGATTGACGCGCGTCGTCGCCACCTGCACCGCCGTCGCGGCGTTGAGAAGGCGGCACGTACTTGCCGGACGAAGCCCCGCTAAACGCAGACGCGAGGCGAGAGCCCGATGCTGCCGATGCAAACGACGACGACGGTGCAGCCTTTGTATCTTCAGCGGGTGGTGTGTTTTCCGCCAATTCGTCGGCGGTGGGAGGGGCCGAGTCCTTGTAAGGACACTTCAACGTCCAATGATCGCCGACCATACCGCAATGGCGGCACACCACGATCGAGGACGACTTGACACCAGAGAAGACCGACTCCTCTTCCTTCTTTTCGCCAGGTAAAATTTGATCCGCGTTCGGGTCGTCCATGCCCACAGTTTCGTTTGACAAGTATGTGACGTTGGTGTTGCCTTCTTCAGCGCCTTCGCCAAACTTGGCCCATGACTACAAGAAATCATCGGAGGTCAGATGGAACATGGGTGTAGGATCGACAGTGTTGCGACGTACCTTGCGCTCAATCACGCGCTTGCTGATTTTGTGGACGGTCTGGACCTTTTGGATCTTGGTCGTGACCTTGACCTTGTTCTTGTCGTCGTCAAACTTCCACGACACAATCGTGCGCACACCGTTCGCATCCGGTTCACTTTCCGTGCGCTGCGGCAGGAAGTCTTCATCTTCGTCGCCCCATCGTTGTTGGTTCCCGAACACCATCTTCCTTCGCACGTTCCGTTCGTTCGATTTGACTGGTCATGCCTCCTGTCAGGAGGACCGGATAACGTACTTCCTATCCGGATTCTTGACCATTCGCGCTGGGTGGTCTTCCTCTATTTTTCTTCAATTTTTACGCAATTTTGCTTGACGTGGGTTGTCTCGGTTTTAAATAACGTTTCTGTATAGTATACTCTTTCTCATATCCACGGATTCCAATGAATTCTCGATGCGAGTGAGCGGCCTTGCCTGCGATCTCAATCTCGTCCATTCGAAGCCTTCTTCGAGAACAAGCCGCATCAGAATGCGCGTGTCTATTGTATTCGCTCATCACGACGATCTACAGGGCTCGACAGGAGTTCTATTGTATTCGCTCAACTGGAGGATCCACAGGGCTCGACAGGAGTCCTTAGAGATCCAGCGGCTTAGCCAAAGGCTCCATGCCTCTCAGCGTCTGCCTTCTACGATGGTCGGTTCGTTTTGCACGAGTTAAAACAATTGTCCCAGTCGTTGTGCGCTAGAGATGTCAGGCGGCGTTTACACGTCACTGCGTCTGCGATGACGCCAAAGGTTGATGGTCCAGCAGCCAGCGACAAACTTTGGGGCAGAAGCAAGTAATGCACTGTCGGAAACGACCATACAAAATCCTATATATTTGGACGGCCGGTTGTTCAAGGGCCACCCATTTTCGATGGAGTTACGGCGCCGGTGCCACATCGCACGACTTTGATTGGCTTGCGCAAAGGATGCGGAATCACTTGATGTTTGTATGCAGCGTCGGACGTTGACATTTTAATGGAAAAGGCCAAAATATTTTTCCGAATATGCTGCGAGGGATTCCACGAACGCAAGTGATTGGTGGAAAATACGGCCATGCTCGAGGTAGGGTTCAAGCATTTGAGAAAATGTCCGTCCTTTCACCAATCAAAGTGCACAATTTCAGACATTTTTCACGAATGACCAGGTTTATACCCGAATGCGCCCATGTGGAGCATGGGAACCAATCGGTGGACCTGGTGCAATATAAAAAATCCATTCGAGTTCGAATTTATTCCAAGCGCCAGCTGTATACAAAAGCCAAGTGTTTGCCCACTCGTCACTCGACGAACAAATCCCATGACGGAAACCCACCAACTCGACGGCGTCCAAGCCTTCACTTCCGAACTCTCCGCGAAGGCATCAAGGTTCCAGCGCCGCCGCTAGATCCCTAGGTAGACTACACAGATGTCGGTGGACTTTCGCATACGTAAAAATCTGTCGCTGTCGATGACCGAGCCGATGCAAATCCCTGGGTCCACGTGCGAAGATGACAGTCCCGACGGCGTGTCGTCGTCCAAGAAGGCCAAATGCTTGCTTAACGCGTGTGTGATTGCTGCGCCCGCGATTGCCGGCTCCGCGATGTACGAAGTCAAACTGGCGTATAACAACAACAAGCAGACGAGCATGTTCAAGTCGAAGCAGGATTTCTTTGACCTCAAGAGCATGTTTCAGTTGCTTGCAATCACGAGCGCGAAGGGTTCTTGTGAGTTGTGCCAGGAGTGCGCTCAGCTGCCTTGCACCTCGATGGACGTGTCGTGCCGTGGCGACAATGCGTCTGCGATCCTGGACCTCTTCTTGTCCAGCTTGATCTCAAAGCTACAGTCTGTGGACCGTCGCTCAATCTCTGACTGCTCCAACCACATGGGCGTCGTTAAGATTATGACGGACTTCCTGGAACTGCGCAATGTCAAGTACTTTACCTCCAAGTCGGACGAGCACCAGTACGGAGAAGGCGACTTGTCGGTCTCTCACTGCTCGCTGTCCAAGAGTCTCTCGGAGCACTTTTCGTCGTTTGATTCTGTCTGTTAAGACCGTCCCCTCTGTCATCCTCTCGCTGAGGCTTGGTGCCTAGCGAACCATATTTAATACAATTTATGGGGACCCTTACCTCTGCATTTGTCTCTCCATCCGAACGACCTTGGACCCAACAAGTTGCTTACGCCGACTTCCTCGTTTGGAAGTGTCCATTGAGTGTGTTCTCAGGAGGCATGGCCCACGCCGCTCGTCAGGTAAACCGTCGAAGTACGGAAACCTGCAAATCCTTGAAGAGAATCTCACAATGTCGTCTCAGCATTTCAACGACGACCTGCGCGATCTCGTGTTGATTACGGTGTCGTGAGCTTGAAGGACACTCAACAGGCTCGCTCGATGCGCCAACGTGTGACGTGTTGACCTTGGTCGCCACGCAGGCTCTTCAGTCGCCATCCAACAGTCAACGTCAACGCCACATGCGTCAGCATCGAGGCAATATCCAGTGCCGGAAGCATGATGTGCTCTCACGTCTTCGTCAACCATGTCTGCCGCGTCGTTGGATGGACGGACTACGTGGCAATGTCCGGATAATCGCGCGCGAGATTTCGGAATTCAAATTTATTATCCGGACACTCCTCGGATTTCACCACCAGAGACGAGATGTCGACGACGGGAGACATGGCGAACAATGCTGCCAAGGTCAAGAAGCAGCTCCAAGCGATACACTACCCCTACGACGCATCTACAAGCGCGGACACATTGGCACGCGGAAGCGCGACAGATCACTTGGCAGAACTGCTTCGGATTCTCCATTATGCACTCCTCGATTACTCGCGGCACGTGGCCCAGCTCGTTCAAGCTGCCGTAAGGGTCTTCGTTGGCATGTCTATCTCACACACCATGTAGGATCTTGATCTGTACGGGAAGACCGACGTCAAGTTCGTAGATGGCGTCCTCCGCTTCGCGAGAGATCATTTGACATATTTTCCCAACCTCACCACGGCGCAACTCCTGTCACCGCAACACTTTCGTGAACGCAAGATGATTGTGTTGGCTGACCTTTTGGCGCATATTGCGCAAGTCCATATCGCAGGAAATCGACGACAGAAGCAGCAGCACGCCGTGTGGGTGCCCCCAACACAAAAAACGTCGTTACCCCCGAATCTCACTCGAGTACCATCTCATCACGTCATACCGGCACAAGTAGACGACAAGTCATCCCCATGGATAAACATGAATCTTGGACAACCTAAAGCCACGAGAATCATTCGCCATCCCCGAGAGGTCCACCCATCGACTGACGGCAATGACGTCCATGTGTCAGATACATTGCCGCCATCACGACACGTACAACGTGAGGCCGCATCACAACGATCCACACTTCCCACACAGAACGGGCCCACGTCCATAGAAGACGTCCCCACGCACAAAGTAACGTATTCCCCGTCTCCATTCTGACGTCGTGGACTCAGGAGATGGACCAGGACACATTGAATACAACTCGATCCGATCACGACATTGACAGCGGCAAGCGACGGATGTGGTACAACAACCAGCATGACGCACACAACGGAACCGACGACGACGACGACGACATGTACCCGCGGGCATCGATCCACGTCCGAAGAACCCCGTCGATTGACAAGGCACAGATTCCATCTCCCCCCAGACCTACGAACGCTTCGTACACATCCACTCCACCTCCTGATTCTTCGTCAGATCCCCCAACGTCCTCTGCAACATCGCACGATGCCGTCCTCCAAGCTCTTCTCCACGTACGACATCTTTTCCAACATCATGCGATCTGCCATCACGAGATTCATAATACTAGCTTGAGGAGAACGTGGCGTCCAAGCTGGATGCACTTAGCCGTGCGTTTGACGAAAAACTCGCTGCTCTCGACAACCGCGTTGCGCGGCTCGAAACCGTCCAGAGCGCCATGGCCATGCACTTTACCCCTTCCGCACCATCGTTGGCAACCTGTCAAGGGAGCCCGAACCAAGAAAACCCGGCCGACGCCCTGCCCACCCCACCCCGTGTCAAGTTGTCTTCGTTCCTCACTCAATCCGTCGACCGCCAGTACAAGTGGCCGCCGGAACCGAGTGTATTTGGCCACCAAAGCCGGCCATGACCCACGCCATTCCACGGCAACAAGCACAACGCCATGCACAAGAAACGGGGTTGTCTTACGCCCAGTACCGCTCCCCAGTAAAGTGGTTGTAAAAGTATGCGGCGCCCGACTGGTCGTCCTTGTACTGGGCCCATCCGTCGTTTGCCGTCGAGTGGTTGCCCGCTCCGCCGTCATAGTAATGGTACTGCCCAGCGTCATCGTAATACCCCACGTCGTCCTTGTACCCGTCCGCGTTGTAATATGCGCCGTAGTTGTCTTGCTGGTAGTCCTGCGCGGTGAGGGCCGTGCTGTAGCTGAGCAGCTGCGCCGCCACTTCGGTCGGGTTGGTGTAGCCAGGCCGGGTCCAGCTGGCCTCTTGCGTGCGAATGTTGAAAAAGTACGACGCCTGTGCGTTCTCGTCCCAGTACTCGACCCACTCGTCCTCCGTCGACACTTCGACCGCCGCGTCCTTGAGCGCGTTCTCGCGCTTTTGCCGCTCAAACTCCATCTGCCGCTGCATTTGCTTCAAGTTTCTCCTCGCAACGTATCCCTTTCCAGCCGCCTGGATCTTGCGCGCGGCCAAGTCCTTGTGTTTCTTGTCCTCGAGCCGCTGCTTCTCCCGCAGTTCCTTCTGTTTGAGCATGAGCTCGAGCTCCCGCGCTTCCTGCTCCTGCGCCCGCGCCTCTTCTTCCAGCAGCATCTTTATCTTGAGTCGGGCGTTTTCCTTTTCCTGTTTGGCTCTGAGCACCGCGCGCTGCTCTTCCGACTTGAGCGCGTCCAGCGCCGCCTGTTGCTCCCTCTTCATGCGGGAGATCTTGCGGCGCGTGAGATGCTTCCGCCCCCAGCCCTGAAGCTTGACTGCCGCGTGATGTTGCGCTAGTGTCTTGGTCTGCGCTGCCGTTTTTTCCTTTTCTTTTTCCAGAGCCTGTTCCTGCTTCCGCACGAGCTCCTTCGTCTTCATCGTGTCCAGCGTCGACAGGCTCTGCTTGAGCGCCATCGCGGCATCTTCTTCCTGCCGCCGCGTCGCCTCCGCGGCCTTTTGCCGCTCCCGTGCCTCGGCCGACGCCAGCCGCGCGCGCTCCATCTCGACCTCCCGCGCCCGTTGTTCGTCTTGTCGCAAACGCTCCAACGCGTCGTCCGTCCGCGACGCCTCCAAAATCGCCGTCAATTTTTCGTGTGCGATCATTTTCTGGTCCTGTGCGAGCTGGAACTGCGCGGCTTCGTTGCGGGCAGCGACTTCCTGGCGCAGGCGCATCGCTTCCTTCTCGATCGCGTCCTTCTCCATCAAGAGCTGCATCTTCATCGCGGCGAGCTCGGCCTCTTGCTCCCGCCGCAGCCGTGCAATCTCGTCGCTGGCTTTTTCGGACGCCAGCATGGCGATGCGCTTTTGGAATTCGACGCGGCGCTGGGCGAGCAACTTTGTCGCTTTCCGCTTCCGCAGCGCGCACTGAATGCGGATAACGGCATTTGCCTCTCGACGTTCGAGCTCGAGGCGCGCCAGCTTGACCTTGTGCTCACGCAGCCGGCGACGATACCGCTGCCGCGACAGGAACCCGCGGATGCAGCACTGAATGCGAATCGCCGCCTCTTCCTTGGCGTGCTTGACGAGCTTGGCAAGTGCTTCCTGGGCGCTGGACTGGTACAACGCGCGCTTTGCCGCTGCCTTCTTCCTTCCGAGCTTCCCCCGCACAGCGGATTGGATCTTGGTCGCGGCCACTTGGCGCTCTTGCCAAAGCAACTCTTCCCTCCGCTTCCGTTGCTGCAGGCGGTGCGCCTCCACGCGTGCTCGATTTCCTCGTGCAATGCTCTGGATTTTGACGGCGGCTGCCTTCTCTTCGAGGTCGATCGCGGCCTTCGCCTGCCGGCGCATGTGAACGGCCAGCCGCCCGTGGAATCCCCGCCACGCGACTTGTATCTTGAGCGCTGCGCGCTGCTGTTGCTCCTGGCGCCGCCGCAGCGCACGCTCCGCACTCAAGTGTGCGCAGAAAACGCGGCACTTGTACCCGCGGTACAGCGCCTGGACGCGAACAGCGCTCGATTGGCGAAGACGCTGGCGCTCCATCTCGAGCTCCTTCTTCGCCCGGAGCTTCAAGTGGTACGCATACCTATAACAAAGTTAGTGCAGCGCCACCGCAGGGGAGGATGTACCGGCCATTTTTGCCTCGCCATGCCGACTGAATCTTGAGCGCCGCTCGGTCGCGCCGCACCATGAGCCGCTTGATTGCCTTTTCGTCCCGCACGTGCTTGGCCCGTCGGCGTCCCTGTGTGCCTTTGAACTGGCTCTGGATTTTGATGGCAGCTGCCTTTTGCTGCCGCGTGCGCCCTGCTCGCCGCCGCCCCAGCATCCCTCGTCCCACGCGCTGGATGCGTCGGACGGCTGCCTCCCGCTGACGTGAGTCCCGGCGCCTCTTCGCCTCCCGCACCGCGAGGCGTCGTCGCCCGGCGCACTGAATTGTGGTCGCCGCGTCATGCTGCTGCCGCGTCTGGGCCACGGCCCTCGCAAATAGCTTTTGTTCGTACGATCGAAATGCGCGCTGGATGCGCGAGGCGGCGCGATGTTCGGCCTGCGTTTGAAAGAGGAGACGGCCGAGTTTGCGCCCGGCATACCCACGAAAGCATCGCTGGAGAAGCGATGCACACGCTTGCTCGAGGTTGGCCCGGCGGAGACGCAGGACGCGGCGCCGGCCGAGAAACCCTCGCACGACCCGCTGAAATTGGACGGCGCCGACATGCTGGAGATGTCGAACGACGGCAGTGCGAGAGAGGAACCCTCGCGCAAGTCGCTGAATCTCGAGGGCCGAAGCATGGCGCTCGTTCCGGGACTGCTCTCGCACGCCCGCGGCCCACGCAACCCACGCCCGCCCGAGCGACTTGAGCGTCCAGTTGTGCATGAGTGACGTGATGCGGGACCCGGCTTTGCACTTCAAGTATCGATCGGCTTTGGCTTTCGTCGCAAGGAATCGGAGGTAGTCGACCCATTTGTAGAACGCCCTCGCCTGAAAGTTGAGCAGGATGCGCGAGAAGAGCGCGTTCATTTTCTCGGCGCCCCACTTGTGACAGAAGAGCTGCGCTTTGAGCGACGTCACGGGCACGTTTGCCTGGACCCACTGCACGTCCTCCCTTACTTTCAGATCGAGCTCTTTGAGGCCGTACTCGGACAGCGCTAGCTCCCGCCGCAGCGACGTCATGTCGGTGGCCGCGCCAGGTCGGAGGCACGTGGGCGTCGGTCGGCTAAAGAATCGCTGGATGGCAGAGTTGAGCAAAGAGATGGCAACGAGATATGCGACGTACGTTATAGTGCTTCATGTGCTTCTTGGACTGGATCTGGCCCATCTTGAGCGGTGGTAGGGGTGAAAGCACCGTCATGGATGGCTGGGATGCGCCGAACGACGAGCCCGACTTGCCCAAGTGCTGCACGACCGCCAGAAGCCTACAGCCGCCAAGTGTGTGTGTGAGCTGCGATGAGGCAGGCAGGAGTCGCACCGCTTGCGGGCCTGCATCATCTGAATGAACTCGTTGAACTCGATCTGGCCGTTTCCGTCAGCGTCGGCCTGCGCGATGATCTCGTTAATGTCGGCCTCATCCAACGCGTCTTCGCCGACCGACTTGAGTAGAGTCCGCAGCTCATCGGGCGAGATCGCGCCGCTCTTGTCCACGTCAAATTCGTCAAATACGCTTCGATACTTTTGCTCCAAGTCGTCCGTTATGTCCCCAAGTGACGCCTCCAGCGCGCTCAGCTCGTCGGACGTCACACCGAGCTGCGATGCGACCGCCTCGGACACCGGCAGTTCGTTATTTTTGGTGAGAGATGCTGACGGGACGGTCAAGGCTGGTGGTGCTGTTGGAGAAGGAGCATGGCTGCTGGTGGCGCGGCGGCGACGGCGGTGCATTCGGTGCATCTCGTCGTCGACTTGATTCACGCTCGGCTTGGGCGAGTGCTTCACCGTCAGCGCCTCAACAGACTGTAGCCGCTTGCGGCGGCGAGTGACGTTAGTGGCCGGCTGGTAGCCGGGTCGGTCTGTCTGGAAGAGGCTCTTGAGCGCCTTGGCGTTGAGGTATAGAGGCCTACAGCGACGAGTCGGGTCGGACGACGGTCGTGCGATGGAAGCAGCACCTGTCCTTCGCCGCCACGGCCAATGGTGCATTGCGGGATGGCAGCGCCTGGTACAGCCATGGAATGGGGTCTCGTCCATTTGTGCTCATGTCTACGCTCTGCATAGTCCTTCAGGCCGACGGATTCGTCGGCGGCGGCGGCACCCGAACGGCAACGGTAACGCAACCGTTTTCGTGGAACGGTTACCAGCCACGGACCGTTACATCAGTTCACCTCGGATCCTTGAGAAAGGCGGCTGCTGGACAAGCTCCCTCCTCCTAACCACACAACTGTGGCGCATTCATAGCCACACAAGGATCCGGTGGACAACGAGCTCTTCATTATGCTTGGTTGTAGGTCCTGCTTACTCGGGCGATCGACTGGCCGGCGTCGATCCCATGAGTTTCGTCAGGACTAGAGCCAAGATCTGGTCCATCTTGGCCGCTCGTTCTTCCCGCCGCAACTCTATTTGGTCCCGAAAGGCCTCCCTTTCTCGCTCTCGCTGCTCTCGTTCGATGTGACGCGCCTCGCGGCGGTCTTCGCGCTCCTTTTCCCACATCTCCCTTCGCTCTTCAATCTGCCGCAGCCATTTTTCCCTTGACTTTTCCAGCATCCACAGCATCGACATGATCGAGGGCGAGTCGTCTTCAGAGGCACTACTTCTCCGACGCCGTTTGGGTGGCCGGTGTGGGTGTAGGGCTGAGGACCGGCTGCCGTGTCGTGCCGCAGGCCCTTCGGCAGGATGCATGCTACCGTTGGCGGTGTCAGTGCCTTCGTCAGTCGGCGCTGCGTGGACGTTCGTGTCCTGGTCGGGATGCAAGATCCGCATGGCCTCCATGACCTGACGCCGAGTCGGAGGCATGTTTGGCCGTTTTGTCGTGATTGTCCTGCCAAGGGCTGCGAGTTGGGCCGGTCGAAGAGTTGCAGCGGAAGCTGAGTCGCCAGGTGATGACAAAGGTGGCGCAGGGACGGGGGATTTTTCGGAGTTGTGGGACGGCGACAAGTCGTTCGGTATTGCGAGAATTCCCGTATCAGCTGCCGTGGCATTCTCTTGGGGCTCGGACGGTGCCGTGTCTCTACGCAAGCATGTCTTCTTTCGGTCAATGTCGCTCTGGATGCGCTTGGCTTGGGCGATGTGGTCACGGTTGGTCAACCCAGCTGAAGATCATCGTCGTCTCAGCATGCCTTCAGCGAAGCAGTGCTGTCGTACCTGAGTGGGGCGACAACGTGCAGAGGAGTCTGAACTTTCGCTTGATAGCAGATACGTCGCGGCGGTCTCCTTTTAGTCTGTGGAAATTGAACGCAATGGCGACGTCGTCCCATTCGGTGCTGTCCACAGGGACGATGTCGGCCACGCAAGTAAGCATGTCTACAAACAGTCACTGAGCGCCAAAACCCCACCTTTGGAGGATGGCATTCCACATACCTTGTTCTTCCAGCGGCCTCCATCCCTTGCCGCGACCTCGGCTTCCAGCGTCCTTCATCAATGCATGGAATGGCCGTCAATATCCGGAAGAATACATATTATCCGTACAAGATGAGACCAGATCGAAATCTTCATGTGGCGGCGGCGCGCGGCAACGGTGATCTTGGTGGAACGATGCTGCCGAGACTTCCTGTCCTGCCGCAACATCATCGTAGGACACTCGTTCTCTTGCTACAAGTCATATTCATGTGTAGGTGGTGACGTGCGACGAGAGCAGCGCGAATGCATGCCTTGATGCAGGATGCGAATTCACGCTGGTCGAATGACGTCAACCAGGGCTCTCTCACAGGCATACCGACTGCAGACATGCATGCAAGGGTGATACCGGCACTCTCCATGAGTTCTCTGCAGTGCAGGTTACGTGGTATGGTCGAGCAGGGGAGCACAAGCGTCCGCGTGAGCAGTCGACGATGTATGCACACCGTGACATTCTATGGCAGAACTTATCGGGTTTCACGGTATTGGTGTGGAAATCTTTTGAATTTCCGTGGAATGAATTCAATATGTGGAGCTCAGTATGGACTTGGGCTCAAATATATTTTAAAATCGGGTGACGGAGGGCTGCAGCGCCGCCGCCGCAACACGCCACACCGTCCGTCCGCGACGACGCTCTAACTCGGGGGAAGCGATGGAAGAGAAGAACCTGCTCTTGGTACGTACGACGGGCGCGTGTGAGTGCGGGGTCGAGGCGGCGTCTAATGTGTCGATAGAATGGCGAAATTCTGCTCAATCGATGGCGTGTCGTGGAGAAAATCGGCGAGGGCACGTTCAGTCAAATCTACACAGCGTCCGACATGACAAACTCGTCACACCGAGTTGCTGTCAAGGTCGAGGCGCCGAGCCAGATGAAGCCCGTGCTGGAATGGGAAAGCCAAGTGCTTGTGGCACTGCAACGCAAGAGTCCATACGTGTGCAAGTATCACCACCACGGCAAACATGGCGAGAATTTCATCCTGGTCATGGAGTTGCTCGGCGACAACATGTCGAAAATTCGCCAGCAGCCAGACGCGGTCCACGGCGTCCCGTTGACCAAGTGCGTGTCGGCGGCAATTCAAATGCTCGACTGCCTCGAGTCGTTCCACCATGCTGGGTTCATCCACCGCGACATCAAGGCGTCCAACTTTGCGCTGTCGAACGGCAAGGACCCAAAGTACGTGCGTGCGCATCGATCCGGCGTGACCACGTGGTGCTGGGCTCACGCAACTGACCGTGCGTAGACGCTACTTTATCATTGACTTTGGGCTGTCCAAGCAGCACCTGGACCCGCAAGGCGCGCCGATTCCACCGCGCGACAAAGCTGAATTCCGTGGCACGTCCATGTACGCGTCGCTCCAGGCACATCGCCGCGAAGATCTTGGTCGGCGCGACGATTTATGGTCGTGGATGTATCTCGTCCTCGACTTTGTGCGCGGCGAACTCCCGTGGGCCCACGACGCCCAAAAGAAGAACCGAGAGGTCGTCGTTGAGCTCAAGGAGTACTTCACGGAGCAGCACCCCGAGCAGATGGTGGAGGGGCTGCCGGGCGCGCGCCACCTCCTCGCGATCATGGAGTACCTCAAGACGCTCGGGTACGGCGACGTGCCCAACTACAGCTACATCCGCAAGGCAATCAAGGCCGTCGAGGACGTGAACGACGAGGCGAGTCTGCTGCACGAGTGGGACGCCCTCCGGGACACCAAGGATCGCGCGGCCAAGTGGGTCAAGGCGCTGAAGCAAGGCGTCATGGACGACGACATGCTGCTCAAGGTTGCCAAGCACTACGGGTCATTCTTTGGGCTAGAGGACGCGCCCGATCGATTCAAGATGCAGGAGCACATTTGGAAAGTGGAAAAACGACTGAAAACGCAAACGTTGTCGGTGCTGCCGCCGACGATCCAGTCGTACGGAGAGCGCCGGCAGGCCGAGCAGAGGAAAAAGGTCGAGTCGCTGCAGCGGCGAAGAGAGGCCGACATGGCAGTACGACAAAACTTGGGCTCGGTAAAGCGCTTGACCCAACAGCTTGTCACGCCACCGTCCACGTTGTTGCCAGGTACGTGCTTGCTACTGTTTTGCTTGCATACGTCGCTAGCCGATGGTCTCATGTGCAGCAGTAGATATCCAGCAGGACGCCGCCCGCGTCAAGCTCTCGACCAACACGTCCGCGCTTCTCGTCCCGGGGGAATCGCCGACCGTCGGCACTCCGACCAACGTGGTCGTCGAGATGGACATTTCGCCACTGCCGCAGGACAAAGCCGTGACCATGCCAGCTCCTAGAAACGACGACAGACCTTCCCGGCCACCCAAACGGTCTCGGTGGGACGCATAAGCCAGTGATTTAGTAAAGATTTGGTCGCAATCGTCGCGAGGTCCAAAATGGATGGCGTTCGTGCAGTTACGGAGGTTTCGCCATAAGAAAACGTCGCCGCCGATGCGAGACGATGCCAACCCGCGCCGCACGCCGCTTCCGTCGCTGCGGACCATGTACCAGCGCCTACACACCATGTCGCCGTTCGTGCGGAGCAAGAGCAACAAGAACATCGTGGTGAACCCGACCATCGTCGACCTCGTGGCCGATCCGCTGGCCAAAGTTGGCGACAAATTGCATCACGTCGCGCCCGGCACGTACGAAGACGTCGTCGAGCGATTCCAGGCCGCGCGCCGCGACGTGCTCGAGGGCCACAAGAACGTTGCGATCGAAGAGAGTGTGCCCCACGTCGGCCTTGTCAAGGATTTGCTCCCGTCGATGGGGCAAGCGCCAACGACCGCCACGACCACGTGGACGTTGAATGTACGTGGGGATGCTGACCGCACCATTCTCACGAACGCTTGCTTCTAGGACATTCTGAACGAGATCCAAGTCGAGAAGAAGCTTCTGCAGCAGAACGTACGCGTCCTGTTGCAGCAGCGCCGCCTGAAGACGTTGTGGCCATTGTAGAAGCACGTGCTATGGGCGCAAGCCGAGCAGCAGGTGCAGAGCGTCGTCGCTTCCGCGGGACAGCCGCCGCAACTCGACGCATGCGAGGTGCGACCGCTCCATCGACGCACGCGACGACTTACTCGATCGAAGGCTGCACTGGAAGGCGCGGGGGTCGGCGCCGACCTCATCGCCGCCATTGTCAAAAACAGTGTAACGTTTGCTCAGGTGCCTGCGGTCCATCAATTGCTGTCGGCCCATCCAGAGATCGAAGCCGTGATCCAGACGGTGCAAAGGCACTACGTCGCGGCGGCGGATGGACAGCGTGCCGACCGGAACATGGTTCGCCTCGAGGCCGGGAAGGAGCACAACGACCTCGGACGACGTCCCATCACACCGGTGGGTACGAATTGCAACATGCTGTCGAGTGAAAGCGCAGCGATCGCAGGACAACGTACCGGTGGCCGCGACCAGTCGGTTGTACGACGTGCCGCTGTCCTTGTTCAAGGGCCTTACGCGGACGTCGCCGCGGCGTTCCGGCGACAAGCAGCGCGACCTCCTCGACATGCTGACGGCGCTCGCGAACCAAGTCGTCGATGAAAAAGTCGACGAGATCAAGCTGAGCCTGGTCGAAGCGAGCAATGCAAGCCACGCATTGTACACCGCCATCACGTTCATCGTGCTGTCTGCCATGTTTGGCGCGCTCAGCCTCTTTTTGCTGTCCCTCGTACCGACGCTCCACGACCGTCCGTTTCTCACCGATACATCAATGGATGGTTCGTAGTGGTTCACGCAATTCCTCAACGTGTACCTGTCCCTGTCGTACCTCGTCGCGCTCATCACCGCGTCGGGGTCGGCCATCTTCCTTGGCGTGCTGGTACGTGCTTCTCGGACGTGTGCTGCTGCCTCCCGACGGCCTCTAGTTTGCGTATGTCGGGTTACGGATCGTCAAAAACACGATGAAGTCGCTCCAGACGATCCTGTTGAGCCCGCAGCCCGCTCGGTCATCACACGCGCGACGTCCGCCGTCGGAGGCGATGGCCGCCTCCGATTCCGCGGCACCGCGAGGCACCCGCTCCTTCGCGGTGCGCCGACCCATGGACAAGCTGACGTCGTTGCTGGCAAAGAAAGGCCGGTCGCCCGTTCGTGCGCCAGTCGTGACGAACAATGAGGTCGCGGCAAGCATGCCGACTCTCCCAGAAACGGTACGCCATCACGTGCACGCGTCCGATGACGTCACGATCGCCGAGATGCATCATCGCCCGTGCCGCCGCATGGACCAAATTCCCGAAGAAAAATCCCATGGCGAGTGCGACGCAACTTGGCACGAAACGAGTTGCCCACCACCGCCCATCAACGAACGTGCGGAGGCGCATGCGGCCACCTGCCGCGCCGCACCTGTCGTCCTCCAGGTTCGGCGCTCCTCCGGCCATCCCTCGTTGTTGATCTCGGTGGAGAACCGCGTGGCGGAAGCCTCTGTCGACGTCCGCCAAGTCGACGTTGAAGTGCTCGGCAACGCAACGTCCGGAGCGGCGCCGGACGCACGAAAGCAGCACGGCACCACCATTTCGACGCAATGTCCATCCCGTCGTCGTCATGGTCCGATGGTTCGTCCAGCGAAACGCCGCCACAGACGTTGCGATCGCAGCCGATGCAGCGCGTTCTCCCACCGCTGTCGAGCATGGCGGGCCTCGAGACAAAGGAAAAACGTTGCGTGCGATGGCTGGAAACGATTGACGTGGAGCGAGCATTCGTTCGCACGACGGCATTTCCCACCGTGGCGCAACGCCGCCGTCGTCACAACCCACTCGCGCCATGACTGTGTGACGACCGTCGGTGAAAAGGCATCCATGTCCAAGGCGGCTGCAGCACGCAGGTGGCAGGGGCGGCTAACGGGCGTCCCGAGTGCGACGGCGGCGCCAACAAGCCAACCTGGGCCACATCTGGCGGCACGGACCGCCGCGATTGCATTCGTGCGCCGGATCATGGACCAAGCCGTTGCAACAGGTCCGCTCCCTCGATGCACCCACGACGCTGCTGGCAAAACAGCGACCATGCAAGACTCGAACGATGCGCATGCGACGTAGCGCAGCATGCCGCACTCACGACCCTCGACAGTGTTGTTCCGGTCATTCTCGTGGGTGGCCTACGCAAACTCGCTTGGCCAGCCACCCCAAGGGCCTACCAGCACACGTAAGCGCAAAAATCTCAACAACGTCGTGCACATACGACCCAACTTGCCACAGCGACGGGACTTTGGGAAACACAATGTACGACTCGTAAGGCACCTGGACGACTGCGTCGCTGAACGTCCCGATGACGTGGTTAGCAGGCACGTGTTCAAAATTGGTGGCGCCGTGACCGTTGGCCCACTCAAACCCAGACGAGGGAAGCCGAAAGACCTAGGACACGGCGTCGTGATGTGTTGGTGTTGGAGCAGTCCGACCTCGGTAATCTCGAATACAGTGTTTGGGGGGGTTGGGGCGGCATGGACGGGTGGGCCGGCCACCATGGACATTTCGTTGGCCAAGATGCGTATCACCGACTCGAACACGAGCTCGGCGCGAGATGTGTCGCCGGCGATCCCGCTCTCAAAGATCATGCCGACGCCACCGTGAGCTCCCGTGTATTCGTCCGTCAATGCGATTCCGCCGGCCAGGATGTACAACGGGTCGTGAAGGAGGACGTTGCACGGAAACCACCTGACGTCGGGATCACGCCGTGGTGTTTATGCGGGCGCGCATGCCTACCGGCCGACGGCGTAGTGCTGTGGGGTGAGCGGTCCGGCCATTTTCAAAAACGGTTCCGACGGCTTGTTCGTGGCATGGAGGTCCAGCACCAAATCGCTTTGCTAGAACTCACGTGGAGTGCACAAAGGTCGACAATCTCGGTGTACCTGCAGGAACGGCGCGATTTCTCGCGCCCGTGCTTGTTCGTACGGCTGGGACGAGTCGGTCGACGATGAGTCGAGGACAGACATCGTGAAGCATCGATTCAAATCCGCGTGCGGCGCGCTCCCACGCTGGTTCAATTCAATAGCCTTTGGGTTGCCCAAGATGAGCGTCAGCGTCCCAGACAGCAGAGGCGGACATCTCTTCTTGAGCCACTCGACGACGTGAACTCCAGTCAGTTCGTTCCCGTGCACCCCTACAACAACCCTGTAGACACGGGCCAATCCAGCACGGATCCAACGGAGGGTCTACCTCCCAAGACTGTCACATGCTTCCCAGTCGGCACACTGCCCACCGCTTGCCAGATGCAATGGCCAATTTCGCGAAAGGTTGCCATGACGGAGCCGCCGGTCGACGACGATGCTCGCTCGCTTCAGCTGTGTATCCGGATAACTTACACGGATAATATTTAAGCTTTTTCAGCCAATGAAGAGCATTCAAGCCCATTATTTCATCCAATCAAACATATCCATGCTTAGCCAATCCCAGTCAAAGCGCATCACATGATCTTCAACTGGGGTGGCGCACCGCGCGGCGGCCTTTCACGATGGCGTGCGGGTCGATGGCGTGGAGAGAGCTCCAGCGGGAGAACGAGTACCTTCGCCACGAGCTTGACCTCTTTCGCGGCGTCATGTGTGTGTTCATAGACGACTTGAACGTCAAGAACGAACAGTCGAGCACGTCATGAACAGGTACGTCCGTCCCCACCGCCGCAACCCTTCGACTTGGACTGCGTGCATGTACAGCTTAAGAGCCAAGAGTTTACTCGAAGCACAAAGCGAACGAGCAACTCCTCCGGTCCAAACTTACCCACTTAAAGGTGCTCCCCCGGGTGAAGTACTCGAGATCGAATGCTCACATTGTGGTGTGTTCTTCGCGCCAAAGACGTGAGCTTTGCACGCGTATAGAAGGAACTGGGCATTGCCCACAGTCAACTCCACGGGTATTTTCGTCGAAATGTACACGAACGGAAGATGAGGACCATTGTAGGCGATCGGGGGCGACTGCAGCTCAGGCGCTTTCCTGCGCGACGACCTGTTCCTCCATGGTTTCAGCTACCTGGACGCAGCAGGTCTGGGCATTTGCCGAGCATGGCACGACATGGTGATGGTCGAAGGCGTGTGGGAGGCTTTGTATGGCCGTCGGTAGAGAGATCGTCTCGATCTTCCGCCTGCCAACCCGGGACCGTCAGCGCGATCGAGTGGGCCGGCAAGAACAACTCGCGCCATCTTCTCGAGCAGAATTGGACGACTGGACAAGCCGTCGTCTCCACGTTGAGCAGACACAACGGGACTGTGACGTGCCTCGAGTTTGCCGGGCTGGAAAGGGTACAACTGCAAACGTGAGCAACTTCAAACGAGCGCAGGTGACTGGGTCTGACGATGGGAGCGTGATGCTGTCGTCGGTCGCGCCTCGGTCGGACGGTACGATGGCCTTCTTGTTTGCGCACGCGATGGTGACTAGACGAGCTCCCGCCCCGCGTCGATGTTCGCTCAGCAGCACACCACCGACAGGTCCGCTCGCCGTTCCTCGAACGTACAATGCGCTCCAGGACGAGTCGACTCGCACAAACTGCACTCGTTCTATGGCCACGACGGCCCTGGCATTGCGCTTGGATGGCGCGACGCGCATCAGCGGTTCCAACACGATCAAGTTGTGGAGCGTCCAGGCACGGTCCGCAGTCTCGGTTCACGACGGCGTCGTCGGGGACATGCATCCACACGCTGCGCGCGCACACACTGACTGAGTCCGCAGCGTGTCCGGGCGAAGAATCGCCAGCGATTCGTGTGAAAACTCTTGGGACGCTGCCGCTGCGAACGTCGTCGTTCGTGGACGCCATGGCCCACCCCATCTCACTGCCTCCAGGTGCGACCCCATCGAACTGTATCCTTCCCCCACTTCAAAATGGATGGGGACGCGTCATCGCGACGGGATGTCGGCGGCGCGGGATGTGCATCGATACGTCCAAGAGTTTGCCAGCCACGTGAGCGGGAATATGAGGTCAATGGGCTCCACGTGCGACGATTCGTCCATGATGGTGGGGCATGTTCGACCAACCGATCGGGGTTGTACATCGAGCGGGACGAGGTCGTCCGCGGCAACGCTGCCATCAAAGTTCCTGGGACCGGGTCGTGCGTCGCCACCATGCACACGTCATGTGCGTCGACGTACGGCCGCGAGATCGTGTCGGGCTCGTACGACACAACGATAAAAAATGTGGGACCTGCGGCGCCCGTTCACGTGGCCACTCGGCCGCCGTGTTTGCGCTGCAAGCCGACGCGGATCGTCTCGGGCAGCGCGGACATGCCAGTCAAGATCTTTAACTCTTTCATCATCTCTAAGCAGCAACATCGCGTGGTGGTCATTCGATGTGCTGTCGTAGTACTCCTAAACGAGGAGACCCTTGGTGCTCGGGACTCCAGCGGTCGCATCCACGGCGACGGCCTGGCGCAGCGCGCGGGCAAACGCCTTGAACGCCGCCTCGCTCTTGTGGTGGTCATTCGACCCCTTGAGCACGTCCGCATGCAACGTCAGCCGCGCGCTGCTCGCAAACGACACAAAAAAGTGCGGAATCATCTCGGTCGACAGGGTTCCAATGTTTGGGCGCACCAACTTGAGCTCGATCCAGCTCGACGCGCGGCTCGAGATGTCGACAACGACCTGGGCAAGAGCTTCGTCCAGAGGCACGAGCGCCGACCCGAACCGCGCGATTCCTTGGCGTTTTCCGAGCGCCTAGGCATCGGCTGCAGGACGATCGACGGACTCGGCAACCTACCTTGTCAAAAGCCTCCCCGAACGCGAGCCCGCAGTCCTCGACCGTGTGGTGATCATCGATCCAAGTGTCGCCCTTGCACACAAGGACGAGGTTGAATCGCGCGTGTTTCGCGACTGCGTCCAGCATGTGGTCCAAAAACCCGATCCCGGTGTTCACCTGGGGCACGGTGTCACACGGCGGCCTACCGCTCGATGCACGTACCTCACACTGCCCAGACCCGTCCAAGTTGAGCTGGACTTGAATCGATGTTTCTTTGGTCTTCCGAGTGACGCAGCTCACGCGGGCACCGGTGAAGAAGTGCGCAGTGTCGGTGACGACTGCCGTGTTTGGTGGGCGGACGATGTCGAGAAGCTCGTCGCAGCCGGGGCGCAGCACCCGTGTGGCCCCGGAGGCTATTAATTTCGGCGTAATGGACGGCTCCGCGTTCTCCAGGATGCTCTTGGCATAGACTTGAGGAGTCAGCACGCCAATCGCAGCAACGTGCGCCTGTGCGGCAGCGACAATGTCGTCGACAGTGTCGCCGAGCATGGCAGCTTCGCTGGGTGCGACGCCCAGCGCCTTCAACGCGAGGACGATCGGGGCAGGAGACGGTTTCGGAGGGGCATCTTCCATGCAGATCATGGTTGGAAACAAGTCTTCGAGTCTACGATCGTGGCATTGTCAGGAAGGACGAGGAAACGGGCAGCGCACTCGAAATCCTTGAGAAATTTGATGCAATCCTTCTTGGGACGCCCCGTGACCACCGCCATTCCATTTGGAAGTCGACGATGCAGCTCTTCCAAGAGCCCCTTGGACGGGAGCAGCGTTTCGAGGCGGTACAGACCTGGCGTCCCGTCCGTGCCTTGGTAGATCTCTTCAAATGCAACTGTGACTTGCTCGAGGGTGACCTCGACCGACTTGGACGTGATCAAGCGGTGGGTCAGCACCCAATCGTTATTGGCGTTGCCTGCCAGTTTGGCGTCGTCAATGTCGACGTGGGTCACCGTGACGCCAAACCTTGCCGCCGTCGACACGATGGCTGCTCGATACGACCGCGACACTTCGGCGAGGACGCCGTCCATGTCCCAGAGCAGCGCTTTCAGCGGCGTCACCGACGATGCCATTTTCGCACTTGTCACCGGATGTTGAAATGGGCCGCGCCTTTCAGAGAAAAAAATCTTTTTTGGCGCATTTTCATGTGGTCGGAACGCCCGATTCGGCAACGTTCTCTTGGTCGGGCACCGCCGTCGTGTAACCTGGAGAGGTGGGTTTGGGTGCCAACTGGCACGTGGGCTTCAACGTACTTCTGCAATCGATCTGATACACAAGGGGGGGAGGGTTGCCTCAGGTCGTCGCGGGCAGTGTGCACTGCGGAATGCGATCGCTGCGACGGCGCTGTATCTATCGCGGGAACACCAAGACGGGATTTAGTAGGTCGGGTCATGTACTAGTAATAGCCCAAGCGTACTTAGTACAATCGCACTTAAGTCATTCTGGTCGGGGCGGGGCTTCAACCCACCGACACACGATCGATCGCGAAGCGCAGCCGACGACGTCGATGCGCCGAAGGATGTTGCTGACACCGTGGTTGGGGCTCGTGGTGGCGGTGTTGTTACTTGTGCAGCGAGTCCGTGGGGGCGGTATCGTGCTTGTCCCGTCGGGAAGCGTGAACCTTGTGTCTGGACGGAATGTAACAGGGTTCCTCTCGTGCGACCCGCCACCAACAAACGATGTTGTCATCGACATGGCGTTGACGAGTCGCGGCGGCGAGAGCGAGCGTAACTTTCCTGTGATCACTCCCAATCGAGTCCGCATTCGCGCAGGTGAACCTGGCATTGCCCACTGTTGGGAAACGATGCGTCGGCGCTCACTCGCCAATGTAGGCACCACGTCGGCATCGTTTACTGTGGAAGGCCGCGGGGAAGGTCGATTTTACGTACAATACCAAGTAACACTCAACTTGGACTACCACGTCAAGCACGCAGAGTCTGTGATCATGGTGCTGAGCGCGAACGATGGGTGGGAAGGGATCCAATTTCAAATTGGACTCAACTTGGCTGTGTTTGGCGCCGGGTTGGTGTTTTTCGTGTGGCGCCGGTTGTTTCCGCGACTGCGCCTTCCGATCTGGCACTCGCACCCGGCCGGGCTCTTCGAAAGGATCAACTTTGATCAGTTGCCGCCGGGCAAGTTCCAGTCCAAGTATGGCATGGCGTTGCGCCACGGGTCGTCGCTGTCGGACCGCGCGCGTCGCTTTGTCAGCTTGCCGTGCGACGGCAAGGACGTGATCGAAATTGCAGGGCTGGATGCGGCGCTCAGCATGCGGCTACACGCGGATTTGGGCCACCTCTTTCTCTTCCTCACCGTCTTTAGCGTCGGCGTTTTAATCCCGATCGTACGACGATGCATGGTGGAGAAGGGCTCATGCGTGCTGCTTGCATAGCATTACATGTCTGGCAAAGACTCGGACGACCCGTACTTGGACGTGTCGTTCCAGGAGACTACTATCGGGAACGTCCCTCTGCAGAGCCACTGGTACTGGGGCCACGTGGCCATGACGTACCTGACGGTGCTGTGCGTGCTGCGCCTGCTCAAGAGGTCCGTCTCGGGTTCCCATCGTCGTCTTTAGCCGCACGGTGTAGGCAAGACGACGTTGGCCAGCGGGTGAACGTCGACTCGACGCGCGCAGTCGGCCATCGCAGCGTCCTCATCAGCTCGGGCCTCCCAAAGGACATGAACTCGTTCCAGCTGCGCCAGAGCCTGGCCAAGATCTGTTGCCCCGTGCGGCGGCGCCAATCGATGGTCTGAGTGTGCCTTACCTCTCTTCTAGGCGGACATCAAGGCGACGGTCGTGATCCACGACCTCCAAAGTCTCTATCGAATCCTGGACCAGCGCGTCAAGCTCCGCAACGAGTACAACCGCCTCCTCACAACGTACGCGCGAGCCAATTCAGGTAGTGTGCCGCCAGCCCCTGTCCCGACTGACTGCGTGGCTCGAAGGCACCCTCCCTGGCTGCGTGCGTTGGTGCCCCGGCGGCGTCTGCTGTCCATCGGTGCCCGAGGTCATTTCGTCGTACGTGTCATGCCTGCCGTGTCGGTCGCTGTGCTGTTCGGTGCCGTCCCAAGTGCAGTACTCGCCCGAACACAGCGGCGCTCGCGACATCGCGTCCATCTTGGAGAACGCGCTTCTCCGCGACCGGCTACGTGCTGCATCGATCCAGAAAGAGCTCGAATCGTTTCCTAGCGTACGACGCCGCCGCCGCCTGCATCATGGTTGGTTTTTCACATGATTCTGTGACCAGCACGTGCTGGACCTGTACGCCAAGCGCCAGAGCACGGGCGCCGCGTTTGTCGTGTTTAGCACGGTACCGATTCTTGTCTCGTCCTTGTCGACGGGACCGAATGAGGATGCGGTAGGTGAAAGCCAAGCTCGATTTTGACGAGCGCGTGCGGCTAGCGCAAAAGCGGCAGCTCCCGGAAATCGTGTTTCCGTGGGATGTCATGTCCCATCGCGACCTGACCAAACTGGAGGAGCAGCCCGTGGACACGTCGATCCTCAAATCGCTCGTGCTCCGCGCCGCGCCCGAGCCAGACGACGTGAACTGGCCCAACTTGGTATGCCTCGGTCGGTCGGGTGGTTCGTCACGGTGTTTGTTGTTGGGGGGTGGCAGACGTACAAGCCGCAGTCTGTCAAGCGGCTGTGCATGTTTGTCTTTTACCAGCTCATGACGGTCGTTATCATCATCGTCTTCTCGACGCCGACCGCCGTCCTCATCTACATGAAGCTCGACAACCAGAGCGCGGTCTATGCCATGTTTACGCAAGACGTGACGTCGATCGTGGCCAAGTTTGCGACGTCGTACCTGCCGTCGCTGCTGCTGGTGAGAGCCACGTGGCTGTCCGTCGCGGCTCTCACTCGCGGCGTAGATTGCAGTGAACTGGTGCTTGTTGACATCGCTTTTCTACGTGACTACGTTTGAGCCGTGGCTGAGCGAGTCGGAGCGCATGAAGAGCTTCTTGAAGAAGGGGTTTTCATACCTTTTGCTGGTACGAACGCCGCAACGACGACGTGTTGTCGATGCGTCATTGTTGGGATAGAGCTCCATCGTGCTGCCGTCGATCGGAGTCACGGCGGTCTACCTCGCCAGCGAGCAAGGGTCGAGCTTCCACCACGGGTCCGAAGCAGCCTACATTGAAAAGTTTATGTTTCAACTCGGCCGCAACTTTTTCATTGCTTACGTGTGTCAACGGTACCCGTCCGCGGTGTGGACGACGACCCATGACCATGTGTCAGGGCATTTCTCGGGTCGATCCTGCAGCTGCTGCGCGTCGGCGAGCGATTCGTGTACCAGCCATGGTAAGCGTCGAGTTCGTCTGCGGCACGTCACCGGTCGCGACTAGGCTCCGCGCGCGCGCCGTGACCAAAGCCGAACGACGCGACGCGGACCGACCGTGGCCGTATTATTTTGGCTACGACTACGCGGTCGTGCTCAGGTACGCCTACCGGTCGTCGTCGCGAGCGATGTCATCGGTGTGCGTAGCACATTCATGGTGACGCTGCTCGGCGTCGTGCTGTCGCCGCTGTTGACGCCATTCGGGGTAAGTTGTCGGCGTCGCGACCAGGATGCGCATCGGCGGCGTGTAGGCGGTGTACTTTTACATGAAGTATTTCACGATGAAGTACAACTTGCTGTACGTCCACCCGAAGAGCGCCGGCCGCGGCCACGTTGCGCGATCGGCGTACACGATTATCTTTGTCTGCCTCGTCCTGTTTGAGGTGCGCGACGCCGCACCGTCTCGGCGACATCTCCTGACCGTGGTTGTTGTTGGGCAAAGTTCACGGTGGCAGTGGTGATTTTGGAAGTTGGCCGGAAGGAGCAGTTTGCGGCCATGGTGACGTTGATTTGCACCACGATCGCGCTCTACTTGGGCTGGTACATCGTCCGCCATGGTCGACGCAGCTTGACCGACGGGTGTAGGTGGCGGCTGCGGCATCGCGGGGTCCTGTCGTCGTGGCACCGTCGTACCCTGGACGGAACGCCCCACAACGTCGGTCGTGGGCCGCACAATCTCAAACATGTGCCGGAGCGCATGCAGATGCGCGTCGCATTCAATCGATTGATCGCATACACGACCGCGCGGCGCGAGCTGGACGAGCAGCGCGCGTACATCAACCCGTACGACGCCGGGCTCAAGGTGTTCAACTGCATCTACACCCAGCAAAAGGCGACGACCGACCTCCGCGACAAACGATATGCCTTTGACAAACTCAAGGCCGTGGCGGCCGCCACGACTCGGCGGCAAGCATTCGTCGCCAAGCGCACCAAAGCACTCGCTGTTTAAGAAATATAATGCTGCCGACCACGTTGCAGGTCAGGGATGCAGTCGTATGTTGAAGCGCCTAACAGACTACCTGGCGAACCATGCGGCCTGCATGTTGGCTCATCTCGCGCTTGAAAAATCCTGCTTGTTCCGCCTGCTCCCATGCAGGGAGAAGGGCGGTGCGACTGGGCCAAGCTCGGTCGACCGTCTCGATGGGCACGAGCGCGTTGTGTCGGCGAAGTCCGGCCAGATTCAAGTGGGGCAGCGTTCGACTCAGCGTGACTTGGCGGCAGTTCAACAGGTTCAAGTTCTGCAGGTGGTGCAGCGACTCGGAGATGGCGCAAACCGCTGCGTCCGTGATGCGAGGGCACTGCGACAGATCGAGCGTCTTCAGCGCCACCAACGACGAGCACATGGCGCGCACGCCATCATCCGACACCTTGTAGCAGTAGCGCAAGTTCAAATGCTCCAACGTTGCAAGGGTGGCGGCGATGCTTTGCGCGATTCTACCGCGACATGATGGCATTCAATCACGATCGAGACGCACCTGTCGTCGACGTTGTGGCAGTATTGTAGGCTCAGACTGCGCAGGGCTTCGCACGTGTCGAGCATTCCTTCCAATTCGCGCATCTTGATGCCGTGACAACCTTCTAGGATAATCGTGTCCACGTGGGTGGCGCTCAGCGCTTGCAGCCCGCTGCCCACGAGCAAGTGGCAACCCGTGAGATCCAGCATCCGTAGCGACGTGCGGCTGTTCGTCACAAGCACGGCCAAACCAGCGTCGTCGAGAGGCATGTTGACAATGTGGACTTGGCAAAGGCGTCGGCACATCGCCAAGAGCTCCTGAAGGCCGCGGGCGTCCAACGCAGGACACATGTCGATGCGAAGGACGCGCAAGTTTTCGAGCACTCGACGGCTCTCAGAGGACGAAAATGCATCGCGCGACACGTGAGTGCATCCGACAAGGTGCAGTTCGTTCAACGAATGGCCGTGGCGGGTGAGAACAGACTGCCACGTCGGCAGAGACCACTTTCGCTCGGATGCGCCATGGCAAGCGTGCTTGACGCCGGACATGCACGGCGCACACTTGCCGCAAAATGTCTCGAGTTTGGAGGTTAATCCAACGTGGGAAAGCTCGCGGCAAGTGGAGAGGAGGCGAACCTGGTCGGCGGTGGGCAGGAACTCCATGACGTTGCCTAGGGCGTTCGCGTCGAGGCAGGTGATGCCCACGCTCTCGTTCGCCGTGGGCCACGTGTAGAGTGGTGGGGATTCGTGGGCGTCGTCGCTGGATACGCGGCGGCAGTCCCGTTTGCACATGTTCATCGAAGTGACTTGTTGGCGCACGGTTTACAGGCTCTGACAATACACGCCTTTCGTTTCTCCTTTGCGCGCAGTAATCCACTGGTGTTGCGGGCAGTCCTTGAGCATTCAACCACTCGAAGCGTGCCGTTGGGACTGGGACGCTGAGGTGTCTGGGGTACCCGCGAAGAGTCTCTCGCAAGAGACTGGGCCTTCGAGAAGCGCAAGTCGATTTGACGAAGGCCAACGAGCGACCGTGTCACATCGTTCGTTCAAAATATATGTCTACAATCGACTGCTGGATGGAGAGGCAGACTGTCGTGTTCTAACTGAGGCGGCTGAAGGGCGAGGATGGAGGTGCGCCAAACATGAACGAGCCCTCTCTCGCGGCCACCACATCCGCCCCACCGGAGCCGACCTGCATGGAGTGAATGATCATATTATCGGTGATCGGAGTAATTTTGACCGCACAGCTCCATTTCGTAGTACTACTAAGTAGTACTAGTATAGCGATCGTTCATTAGTAGAAAAAAGTCGGATGGGCTTTGTAAATTTTGAATTATTGCCGGACAAGCTTCCGAAATTTTCGTTCATTGGAATGCCTTTTCTTTCCAAACGGCAAGTTGAATGCTAAAATATTGAAAGTGAACATGAAAAAATCGGACAGAAATCCTGTATCCATCGATTGGCACAAACTCGCCCCATCATGGCAGAAGTAGGCCTTTCAGGAACCAACTCGACCCGTCAGCTGTCCACAACAGTGCAGGACCTTCGCGACAATCGACTTGCCATGAGTTCCAAAAAAGGGTACCCCCGCGGCATCAATCAGGTCGTCATTTGGCTACATTCACCTGGATGCTCGAATATGGTAAACGACGACGGTTCCCATAATCTCGACGAGTTTGGATACGCCGAATTCACTTAGTTTGGTCTGTATAAGTACAAGCACGCTAAGGTGTCCCTGTCGACGCTATCTGGTTATTATCGTCCTGCCATAAGGACTACTGCAATCGACACAATGTACCGCTTCCAGTTGCTTCGCCACCGATGCAACAGTTATCTACCAAGGTGAGCGATGATGCTTCGAACTACCTATATGTCCATGATCAGTATGTAGGGATTCGGAGACTGTGCGCAAGCGAGACACAATCTGGTACTATCAAGCGGGGTGGAAAACAGCCCTTACATTATCATCTATATGTTGCTCTGTGCAGGAAAGCTTCAAAAAGCTGGACGCTGGTTTCACGCACCTGTTTCTCATCTTGACTTGGAACCTCATGTGCCGCTCCAAACCGACTTCAACTGTGCGCATCGGCCATCTCACCGAC